TGCGCGCTGGAAGTGAGCCTGCTCAGTACGAGCTGTTGTAGCTGCTGCCCTCACTGTGCCCTTACGCGGCTTCCGACTCCCTACAGTCATTAAAAAGAGGCTCAGGGGGGCAAATCGCGGCGGGGCAGGATGTGAGCGCGGGGTCGAAATTTACCAGCCTGGGGGGTGGGGGAGGGTCAATTAACTTTCTGGTGCAGCAGAGGGGGGCTGGAAGGGGAAAAGATGCAGGGGCACGGGGAGATTTCCACGTGGGGAAGTGAAAACGGTTAGAGCCCCTGAAAGGCTGCGAAGAGAAACTGAACAGGCTGGGGCTGCATCCTGCTGCTGCCAGCAGACAGCCCCCTGCGACATGGGAAGGTCACACATAGCAATGAATAAGCGGTTATGCACTGGGGGCTTGGTTGGTGTAGGGGACCACCCCAAGCAGCTCTTCCCAGCTGATGCAGCCCCCTGGGTGTGAAGTGAGAGCCAGAGCTGGAGTAGCCCGTGCCAGAGGGGAAAGCGCCAAGGCTGGCCACAGTGGCAGCAGCATGTGGACACTGATGATGTTATTCTGTAGTCCTGCATGACTCTCTCTATCTATCTATGGCTACGTCTACACTGGCCCCTTTTCCGGAAGGGGCATGTAAATTTCACCTATCGTCGTAGGGAAATGCGCGGGGGATTTAAATATCCCCCGCGGCATTTAAATAAAAATGTCCGCCGCTTTTTTCCGGCTTTTAAAAAAGCCGGAAAAGAGCGTCTAGACTGGCCCCGATCCTCCGGAAAAAGTGCCCTTTTCCGGAGGCTCTTATTCCTACTTCAAAGTAGGAATAAGACCTATTTAAATGCCGCGGGGGATATTTAAATCCCCAAATGTCCGCCGCTTTTTTCCAGCTTTTAAAAAAGCCGGAAAAAAGCGGCGGACATTTTTATTTAAATGCCGCGGGGGGATATTTAAATCCCCCGCGCATTTCCCTACGACGATAGGTGAAATTTACATGCCCCTTCCGGAAAAGGGGCCAGTGTAGACGTAGCCTATATGTATACACACACTCTCTCTCTCTGAATACTTCATTAGTTATCTGTACTAACAGTACTTATCCTGTTGTGTTGGTAGATGTACACTTAGGTTGGCCTGATTTGGCCTGGTGTGTGTCTTTCCTCCCTGTGCACACTAAAGAAGGGGGGAAGTCTGACAGCCTTTCCAGAAAATGTTGCTGAAGCTCTGACCACCCCTAAGCTGCAGTTCTTTTCCCAGGCAACCCTCGCCATGGGACTCAGCCCCATTTTTATGTGATACCAACCAAGGATCTGAAGCCCTTTTGCTGCTGTGGGGTTGAAGCACTGTTACTGGGTGATCCCCACAACAGGGCTCCTGCTGTGTGGTTGAAGCACTTTTGCCCCCTTTAGGCTTAGCACTGTTTCCAGATCTCCACCTTCCCCATGGCAGAGCTCAGCCTCGTGCTCGGGTGGCCTCTGCCACTGGGCTAAAGCCCGTTTGCCACTGTGGGGTTGAGCTCCAAAGAGGGAGGTGTTTGGGAATGGGGCTGAGCCCTGTGGGATGGGACCACCTGGGAATGGGACTGAGCCCCACTGGGTGGGAGGTGCCCGGGAACAGAGCTGAGTCCCATGGTGACAAGAGGGTTTCAGCCCACTGGTTTTCTCACTCATTCTGGCATTTTTTAGAATCTTCTTGAGTCATCCAGTATATTCTCAAATGTTCTCTGTGACTGACAGCATGATGGACACCTCTCCTTTTATAGATTATCATTGTGCAATGCATGTCATGGCACAATTTGTTTTTATTTTAATAGCTAATGCTCAAAAACATTTAAGTTCATAGTAATTACTGGTTTTAGCAATTCCATTTGTGTTTCTATTATATCAATTGCTATGTTGTTGTGCTTTAATTTTTTAAGTTGGAGTTTTTTATTTAATGTGTTTATCCTCATTCTGTTCCTGAACCCAAGCTGATCACAAGACAAAAAACAATGAAGATTCAGGGAAGGATATGCTTAGACCTCTTTGAAAGCTACCCTAGCTTCATGTGAATCATTCCATTAGTATATAGAATGGAGAATAGAAAGTCCAAGGTAAGAACCACTTTTTGGGGGGATCCATGAAGCAGAGAAGCATTGCCAGATAGGAAATCCCTGCTGCAGATGATACTGAACCCTCAGCTACATGCACCTCCAAAAGTAATTATCACAACAATTCTAGTACAAAGTCCTCTCTTGGTATCCAAAATACTGAAGCTGCCTAATTATAGTATGAGGGCCTGCAGGCTGTGATGCTTGGGGCTCCCTCCCTTCAGGGGAGTGAGCCAGTGCTGATGATCCAGCAATTGGGTGGTGGAGTGCCAAAGCGTGCTGTCTCCACCCCCACCCCCGCACTGTGGTACCAGTTTGCCCTGCTGTGTGGGGAGGGGAGCGCCTCTAAGCCTCATGGGCTGGATCTGTGTTAGCCACGGGTTGCATCTGGCCCGTGGGTGCTGCCTGGCAGGTGGAAGGTGTGGTTTTTTGAACAGCAGCGCAGGGAAGCTCTAACTCTGTGCTAGATCTATATTCATTTTTAGGCTACACCCCAGTCGCTTCCACTGGCTAGAAATTGCAGCCAGTGGGAGCATGGGGTGGATGGCAGTTGCCTGCAAGCGCATGGCTATGTGGAGACACCTGCACCCACCCCTCCCCGGTCTATGCTAGGTAATTACCCCCATCCCCTGCCCCCTCCTCCTTAGCCCCCTCACTCATCCCCAGCCTTCCTACAAAATCTATAAGCCCCATGCTCCAAGAAGAGTTAATCGGGCTCTGGTGGGAAGCCTTGACTCTTGGCTCCCTCCCACTTGTGTAGCATGAGTGAAGTGAAATGAGCCATCTTCCTCTCTCTTTTTTCTTGCTTCTGAAGAGGGGTCCAGAGCTGGGGGAGGGTTTCTTCCATGGGGGCACACACACAGCCTGTGTTTGAACCACAGACAAAGCAATGAAAAGTCAGGGAACCCCTCACCAAAAATCCCTCCAGACAAGGGTGATAGAATTAAGGAAACACCCCTAGCCTTTGGCACCCAGGAAGAAGTCCTCTTGCTCTCCTTCCCATGGATCTATTCCACTCGCCATCCTTTCCCCAGCCAAAGCCAGGGCCAGCTGCTGGCTCTGTGCACATGGGCGCAATCAGGCTGAGCCAGGGCCTGCTGCTCTGAAGTTCCCTCACTAAAAAGTCAGATTTGAGATGAGGTTGTTGCAGCCACAGCACAGAGTATTAACCACTATATGATCACGGCCGAGCCATGGGCCCCCACAGCAGCTGAATGAGAAAAGCTCAGCTCTGTGCTCACACAAAAGCTGCCTTTCTCACCTAGGGCTGCAGCTTCTCACACATATCTCCTTTCCGCACCCGCTGGATGCACATTCTGAGCACAGAGCTTTCCAGGAACGAAGGAGCTCCTCATGGACTCTGGTACCCAGGCAGAAGTCCCCTTGCTCTCTTTCCCATGGATCTACTCCACTTGCTATCCCTTCCTGACATAATCATGAGTGCTGACCAGCACCTGGTGACTAAGGGGTTAACTTATGTCTCCTGAACCTAGCCAGATATCGGGTGGTCAGCCAATAACAATGCAGGTAAGAATTTCAAACTGGAAAAGAGGGGTTTTATCTCTCTGTTCTTTGTTTGAGAGGCAGGGCAGTTTCTTCCAAGACTGAGGGAGATGGGAGACTCTCCCAAGAACAGACTTCTTAAAAGGCATAAGTAAGGAAAAGTTTAGCTGGTCCGTCAGGATTTGTTGTTTTCTTTGTTTGGGGATTTGGAAATATCTGAGCTTGTTACTGTGAAAGCAGACTCTTTGCTGGCCAGGCCTCTTGCGCATCCAAGCAACTGGTTAACTTCCCTTTGATGGAAAAACCTTACACTATGTAACTTAAAGATCAGTGAAGAACAGGAACCTAAACCAGATATAAGAAGTTGATGTAAAGTTCGTGCTGGTTGTGCTGGCTGTGCCATGCCTGATAAGGCAGAAAGGGAAAAACAGGAAACCATCTCACCCCCTTACTCCTGTCAATTAACAGACAGGGTCTGCTAGCCTATCACAAAAAGTGCGCAAATGCTTTCTCTATAAAAAAGCTTCCCCTCCTATTTCAAATTGAGGAATCCCAAATAAACATTGGAAGGCAGAATACGAGCCAGGTCCGAGGACTAATCACCTGAGGGCCACCTCCCGCTCACCGAACCAAATGAGTTCCTGTAGAGCGTAACGTATACCAAACATAACGTATACCAAATATGTTGTTGTTGTTGTAGTTTGTGTGTCTGTAAATGTAAGTATCATTATCTGAAATTGTTTAGAGGTATTGTTAAGTAGTAGTGTTAAGAGTTTTAGATAAACGATTAGTCTTATAAGTAAGACTGATGTAAATGTAACTGTTAATAATCCCTGGTCCCTTGTTAACAACTATTGGGATTTAGAGAAACCTCAAGGAAC